CCCCCCCCCATTTATTCGATACCTTAGAGTATACTTGACCATGTACCAGTGGTGGGGAAATTCAGAATTAGATTGAAGAGGACACACACGAGCAAGAACAAGAATATGAAGCTAAACGTGGCATTACTCCAGTCAAACAAAGAAAAGCAAGATAAACGCAGAATAAATGTACAGAACGAATTCGGCCCCTTAGAAGAAATACAAGACATAAAACAACAATGGGAACAGCTTAAAATATCTATAAATGAGGTTGCAAAAGACGTTATACCAGAAATGACAACAGAATGAAAGGAGAAATGGATGACAGAGGAAATTCTTAATATTATGGAGGAACGAAGGACAAACAAATACAATCAGGAAGAATATGAGAATCTTCACAAAGAAATCAGACAAAAATCTAATCTAGCAAAAGAGACCTGGTTAAAAGAAGAATGTGAGGAAATGGAAAATCATTCCAATGCGAACTCAAAAGATCTGTACAGAAAAATTAGAGAGGTGTGCCATACAAAAACACGTGGATGGATCAACAGGATGCCTCAAATCAAAGGATGGGAATACCATCATGGATAAAGATAAGATACTGGAACGATGGACAGAATATATCGGTTTTAGTTTTAGCAGAGGCTTTACGGCGCTCGCAACTGCATAAGGTCATATGAGCACCAGAAGATTAGAGGTGTTACAAGAGACTAACAAACATAAAAAAGAAGAAGGGGCGATAAGGACAATAGATGTTTGATAGGAAAGAAGAAGCAAACCACACCAGAGCACCCGCCAACCACCCACAAGAATATATCGGTGATCTGTACAATGACAATAGAGATGAACAAAGAAAAGTGGAAAATAACAACGAGGGACCACCAATCATGAAAGAAGAAGTTATCAAAGCACAAAGGAAGATGAAAAATGGGAACGCTGCAGGACCTGACAACATTACCACAGAGATGATTAAAGCTTTAGAGAACTTTGGAATCACCACACTGACAAAACATCTCAACAACATGTATGACACTGGACATATTCCACCAGACTTGTCAAAATCTATCTTCATAGCTTTACCAAAAAACCCCTAATATAAATGGATGTGAAACTCATCGTACCATCAGCCAAACACGAAATAAAATTCCCCCCCGAAATAGCCCAAGAACAGAGTGGATTAATTTGAAGGTAACGGCACTGTAAATGCCATAAATGTCACCAGAACAACAAAAGAACACGCCCTGAAAGTCCAGAAAGATCTTCATTTATGCTTTATAGACTACACCAAGGCATTCGACAAAGTTAGGCACGACAAGATCATCGACAAGCTAGAAGTCCTCAATATTGACGGGAAGGACTTAATAATTATCAAAAACATGTATTGGGATCAAACCGCCGCAAACAAGGCTACAAAAACGACATCAGCGAATACACAGATTAAAAGAGGAGTCAGATAGGGATGTGTACTTTCACCAGACTTGCTCTCCCAGTATAGTGAAAATGTCATGAGACACATAGAAGAAATGCCTAGTATCTCGATAGGGGGACATAACGTAAACAATCTAAGATACTTGCAGACGACACAGTCCTGATAGCAGAAGATGAAGAACACCTACAGGATCTATTGTCATCGTACAAGAGAGTGACAACATGGGCCTGAACCTACACATCAAGAAAGCCAAAACAATGGTGATAAACAGAAAAACTCCAACCACAACCTGCAATATCAAAATCAATGGTACCACCCTCAAGCAAGTACATTTCAAATATTTGGGGACCATTATATCACCAGATGGGAGATGTCACACCGAAATTAAAAGCCGCATTTGCCAAGCAAAAGCAACCTTCCACAAAAATGAAACAGATACTTACAAACATCAATCCATCACGGGAAACAAGAAAAAGAGACAGAAAAGATACATCGAGCCAATCCTATTATACGGATGCGAAGCATGGACAATCAATAGACAGTTGGAAAGAACAATTGAGGCGACAGAGTTGTGGTTCATAAGTCGCATGCTGCGTACCCATGGACAGCTAGAAAAACAAATGAAGAAGTCTTAGTTGAATCAAATTGCAGACAACAGCTTATGACGAATATACGAAAGCGGAAAGAAGCATTGGAGAATATTGTAACAACAGGCAAGTTTGATGGAAAGAGAGGCAGAGGCAGACAGAGGGAAAAAATACTGGAAAAGTTAACAACATGTCTGGGAACAGCAAGAACAACAGACACCATCGCTGCAACGCAGGACAAAGGGAAGTGGAGGTCCATAATAGCCCACGCCAGTCGGCAAGGCACCGGATGATGATCATGATAATGATGACAGAGTATACACTGTTCAATTTATTTATTTAGTTTATTTTAGATTTTTAAAATACGTTTTTGATCAATGCAGCTCAGTTGTAACTATTCTGCTCATGGCTTCGTCGTGAGTGCTGGTCTGTTCCGTAATAACTCTTGTAAAACGTTTTGTCATAATATTTCTACTGTCAGCTGTTAGCGATTTAATGAGTGCTAGCATATCCTTGTTGAACGGAACTTTGTCACCCCTCCTCCGCCCAGTTCTCTCTCTCTCTCTCTCTCTCTCTCTCTCTCTCTCTCTCTCTCTC